AAGAATAGAGATGAGTAACGAGTGAGATTTTGGGGTAGAAAACGGGTAAATGAAAAATGAGGTCAAAACCCACTAATATTTGGGCTTCTGTCCGTGAATTACTTGAGTACAAGACTTGTATACTCAAGTAACTTGTGCTATGCTTGAGTATCTGGTGCCATACTTGAGTAGAAATTCATGACACATACCTTTAAGCTTAACCCGCAAAATTTACTCGAGAATATTGGTTGCAAACTCGAGTATGAGGTCGAGTCAACGGTCAAATAGGGGCAGATTGGTATTATGTTTAGGGGAAAGTGCAATTTTTTTAAATAATTTAAAAATGAGGCATAATGATAAATTTTAATTTAATCAAGGGCACAATGGTCAAAAAGCCTCACTTTGGTGACCAAAGTCCAAATATGCAAAAGTTTCCCTAAACTTAAAAATGATGTCATAATATGAAAGTTTATAGAATTTGGTGGGGTCAAAATACAATTTATAAATGTTGAATTTTTGTCTAAATTAAGTTGGAATTAAGGAAATAAGGAAGGACTAATTAGCAATTTCTTAAGTGAAAAGTGTTGACAAAGTCAAAGATGACATAAGTAAAGTTAAGACTTGTTTTAGTTCCATCTTTTTCCATCTTCTTCATGTGAGACTTGGCCGACCTCCATTCTTGCAAGAGCTTGAAATCTACTTCTTCATTTAGTCATCAAAACACCATGAACCTTTGATGAAACTTGTTTAGTTTTCATGTAGATTAAGAATCACCAACCAAATACCATAAAAAGCCTTGTGTTGAAAGATATCTCCATCCAAAGTTTGCACCAATTTTGGAGTTTTGTGAAGGATGAGAGCTTTGGTTCATCTATGTTTGGAAGTTTACTCCTAGCATGATTTTGTGGAGTTTAATGGCAAGAAACCCTAACCTACCTTGTTGTTTCATGAAGTTTATGATTATTGGTGTTTGGTGAAATTATTGAATTGATGTTCATGGATCTTAGATGTTATAATGGTGAAATATTTTCTTTTGATGATTTAATGTTGAATCCACCAAATATTAGTATTTGGAAAGCTTGAAAGTAATGATGATGAAACCAATATGTCAAGTAAGGCGCCATTCTTGAACCATAAGGTTGGAAGTGTGGTTGATCTTGTTTGAAGCTTGGAAGCCATTTCTAGTATTCTTTCAAGTAATTAATAACAAGGTAAGAAGCTCTTACTTTTCTTAGTGTTTCATGGTTAATTACATAGCCTAGATCACTTGATGAATAGTGTCTTACATGGTCATGACTTGAAATGGACTTGAATGGATTAAGAAGATATGATAAGGAAAGGTATTTAATGGAGAAAAAGTGTTGAAAAAATTATTTGAACTATTGATGGAATTGCTTAATTAAAGTAAGGGTGCTTTATTTTTAAGCCTTAAAAATGGATGTTAATGATAGTTTCATGTTTGTTGATGATATAGTGGTGAACCTTGTTATATCCAAGTGGAAGATCAAGTGTTGGAACCATTTGTGGAATAAGACCTTGATTCGTGAAATTATCAAGAATGTGGTAAGTTGTCTAATTTAAGCTTCTTGGTGAAATGAAAGCTTTTGGAATGATGTTTCATGTATAATATGTGTTTATGATCATAGTGTGAACTTTGTTGAATCATTGATTGAACATCAAGAAAGTTTGAAAAGTAAAGGTCTACAAGAGATAAACCTTTGTTTCTTGGGATTTTATTCCCTCTTGGTTGTTCCACCAAGGTCCAATAAGATTATGGTTATATGTTTGTATGATCGAATGGATGTTAGATACTTAGTATAGATGCATTCATGTGGTTATGTATATGTAATGATTGATTTATATGATTTATGAGGGTTCTTGACCAATGAGCACATACATGCATGTACCTTCCTTGAGAATCTAAGCTCTTAGATGTGTATTATCCTTGGGGACCTAATCCATTGGACCATCATGTATGAACCTTCCTTGAGGATCTAAGCTCTTGGAAGGGTATGTATGGACTTTCCTTGAGGACCTAAGCTCCTGGAAGTCTTATGTATGTTATGAGCTATGTTTTGAACTATATGATGTTTCTATGTTATGTTATCTGACCTTTTATGTAGAAAGTGAACTCTTAGGTGGAGAATTACTACCTAGGGTTTACTGAGATGTGTATCTCACCCTTTCCGAGGTCATATATTTCAAGTAATTCAGCAATAAGAGAGGGGCTCTCACAGGGCAAGAGGCCCGTGTAGAGCAAGATGACTCACCTGCTGGACATTTATATGATGAAGTGTATATAGATCTTTTGGAAGATTATATTGCATGACCATGTATCTTTTGTTTGGCCTTATTGACGAGAACTTGTGTTATTTTGAGTAAGGCCTATATATGTATATGGTGTATATGGCCATTAGTTATATGACTATGATTTTATGTAATGTTAATGTTCAAGTGTTGTAATTATAAGTTCTATGATAAGGTATGTAAGTTGATGTATGGATATATGATGATGTAATGTATGGGCACAAAGCTCTTGTATGTAAGAATCCATGGACGGATTCTAGGTTTATGCTAGGGACAATTTGATTCATGCATGAATTATATTATTTGTCTATCAGGTACTTATTATGAAAGTGGGAGCCTTATATGTCCAATTTACAACCGAGATGTTGTCTGTGAGATTCTATCTGAGGTGGTATATGTTTATCATACTCAGGTAGTTGTTTACCATTACTTATGGTTTGTAGAGTTATCAAGTATGAATGTTATGCAGGTATGAGATTGTATAATTGAGAATAGTATGAAAGAGATACTATGCATGTCAATACATAAGGAGAAAAAAAATTAGTTCACATAATTACATAGGTGTAAATGTGACTTTTATAGTATAGTCTTCTGTTTAATTATTTAATTATGATGCATTTAATACCATAAGTGATGTGTTAACAAACTAGTCCAGAACATGGTGTTACAAAATTCATGACATACACCTGAAGGCTTATCCCACAAAATTTACTAGAGTATATTGGTTGTCTTCTCCTCCAGTCAACGGTTAAACATGTGCATATTGATATTATGTTTAGAAAAATAATTAATATTTTAAATAATTTAAAAACAGAGACATAATGACAAAATTTTAATTTAATCAGAAACACAATAGTCAAAAAGCTGCACTTTGAAGTGATAAGTAAGGTTTGAAAACTTTTTTCTCTTAAGTTTTCTATATTTAATTTTTGTTAAAATTATTTAAGCTGCTAGCTTAATTTTTATTAGGGTTTTATAAGAGTTATGTTGTAGGAAAAGTGATTGTGTAATGTTTTAGAGATTCGTTTTGCGTGCCTTAATTTTTTATTTATTTTTTTGTTTTAAAAAGTGTGGGCCCCACAAAATATTGTGAGAGTAGAAAAATTTGTTGTGTTATGTTAAATGATAAAATGAAAACCCTTTTTATTATTGCTCCTTAGTTTTCTTAATTTAATCTAAACTTCTATTAGAATTTGTCTTTCGATATCCGTACAGTTTGAGGTTACGAGCTTATTAATATAGCCATCAAAACATGCTCTAAATAAATGAGAAAAATGAAGTTTGTCAAAGAAGATGGGAGCGGGGGTATCAAATGCATCGAGTCAAACGCCTGAGCGAAGAACGGACGGCTAGGATTGTCAGAGCATCGTACGCTGCAGGCATCGCCACGTGATCACATTAAATGCTCATTGGTACGGCGGATGGTGGGTCCCGTGCGGAGGGGACAAGAGCACGTGGACATGGGACTTCGTGAACGTGGGGACCACAATGTAGGGACCACCTTTTCAATTATGGGATCATCATAGTGCTCATCAGTTAAGTATCGTCGTTGCGGCGATATATTGCGCATTTCCCGGGCCCTTCACTTCTCCCTTCCTCCACATATCACCTATTATTATTTATCGATAATTCGGGTCGGGTGCATATTCAACACGCCACACTCTCTCCGGGTTCACTCTTCCTCTTCACGCTGTTTGAGGACCCACTCTCACTCAAATGAATAGTATCAGAAACTCAATTCTTCAACACTTTTAAATTTAGGAACATGTTATTTAATAATAAAAACTGAGAAAGGGTTAAAATATATCAAAGTAGACAGACATACTAACATTAAAATAACTTGCTTTTATAACGGTTGGAGGGAGGGAGTGAGTGACTCTCAATTCTCGAGCCATAAACTCAACAGGAAAGCTATGTCCCAATGTTTTGACTTATCAGCGCAGACATTTATTACCATCTACTTTATTATATATTTGACGATGATGTTTGCATTTCAAACGTTGGAATCCAAAGATTTTAAGCTTTGCCACAACTTCAAAAGCAGCCGAGCTTGCATTTTCAACATAGAATTCATATGTTTTCAAAAAACATAGAATTCATATCAAAAGAATTATTTTTTAAAGGACAATTAAGGGTTCAAAACAAACTCAATTACAGAATGATGTTAAAAAAGATCATTATAAGAAAAATTAGATGCAAAGCAGTAGGTGTTATTGGTTTAAAAAATAAAAAGACCAGGGGCCAGGGCTTTTCTAAATACTGTCACGCCGTATTAATTGTTTCCTCCATCTTGCTAGACAAATCATAAAGATGAACTAACGATGTAATATTGAAAATTATATCGCCGCCGTGACCCGTTACTGAGATTCCCATTCTCACGTTCATAATACCCTTCAGTGGAGATTTGCAGAACCAAACACCAGTGAGAATATCCATACACCAAAAAAAAGAAAAAAGAAAGAAAGATAAGAAGATGCGTTTTCAATTATGATGCTAAAAAAGCATCTACAAGTAGGGTGACAATTAACGATATATGTAGGCTCATATAATTGCATCACCAACTACGATTTACCATCTGGCTAACTTTTATCGAGGAACAGACCAAATGACATAAGCATTTACCTCTTTCTGTAGCAAGTAGGATTTTTATAACTCAGCTCCAAAAAGAAAAAAATAAAATAAAATAAAAAAAACCTTATTTCTTATCTCTGCCATCATTCCCATGCATTTTTTTTATTTGAAGCTATGCTCTTTCTTTACATATGTTTTGTTACATCAAGGAAGCTTTATTCATTATACATACATATAATGTTCTGTGAAAAGAATCATAAAGTACAACAGATGGATAATAAATCCCTCACTTTAGGCATGCTGCAACTTCCTGGGGTCTCGTGGATGTGTTGGAAGATGTACATTTTACTAATATGATGTATAGAAGATACATGGGGTGATGAATCACATGTTTCTGGATATTATTGACGAATTACAAGTAATTATGAATTATTGAGGTAGCAAAATCTATGTATATTCAAATATAGCACCTGTATGATTGAACCCACATGAAACTTGCAAAGCTTTTGCGTCTTCTCCAAAACAAACTCCTGTAGGATTTATATAGTCCACATCACTTCCATGACCCTGAGTAGAGAGCATAAACTTTATTTATAGTCATGCAGGATAGAGAATTGTTTCAGAAAATTAAAGGCAAAAAACTAATCAATTTATTCAAGAAATGTATCAGTCTGACTAATCAGACTGCACATTCCTCTAAGGTAAAGTCTTGAATTTAATATGAAGAAAGCTTCTAAGTGTATGTGTGTGTCATTTTCCATACATATGGAAATCATGACTAAGTGTACGATGTCTTGTTACTTCATACAAAAAAAGTGCTTGGTTTTCTTTTACCGTCCTTATCATAGAATCTGGCATTCCGATCAATATGTATATATGTGTAACCTGCTCTTGATCAATTTCTAATGGTGCAAGGAATTATAAATTATATGAGAAGCAGAATCATACCAATTGTCCCCCCGAAGAATGTCCAACTTCAGAGAAAGTCCCATTGGAACCTCCCCAGCCCCATGTGAAGACTCTTCCTTCTAAAATACAACGAAAAATCCAGGATAAATGACAGCAATATGATACTTCTCTTTTGTAACTACCAGTACAGTATAAACATCGAATACAAGTCTTACAAGTGAGAGGTAGTTAAAAATCAAATCAACTTAAATAAAAATTCATAAAAGAAAATTGGAAAAAGTTCATCCCCACACTTGTGCAATCCAAAAAGGTTCTATGTATTACATTAAATATCCATCATAGAAAGCTTGCAGCTCTGTGCATAAATCTATAAAGGTTGTGCCAGTTTACATGCAGGTAAAAACATTTATTTGCCTTTAAAACAAAAACTAAGTATGGCACAAACAGATACTGGAAACAAGAAAATGATTGAATTCTCCACGAAGCAAGAAACTGATTATTAACTGAGTCACGCCATCTCATTCCCATAAAGAAATTCAACTAGTTAACTGCCTCTTTGACAAGTCTAAGAAGCAGATAACTTAAAGATGGAACACAACCTTTGTAACAGTTTCTGCAGCTGTAAGTGGAATCACTCATCACCATACATATGATGATGATGAAACTAAGATGCTCTAACCCCAAGAGAAATGAATGATAATTAACTTCACTGTAGGGGCATTTCAGGAATACTAGTTTCCCAGTAATGCCATTTAAACTGGCACTCTTCAATTTCTTTGGGTTTTAGGTGTATTATGTCTCCTGTGATTTAGTGAATTACAGATTTGATGCCTAGATAGTTATTTTCTTCTCTGCATTCCATCCTTTAATGCCTTGCCACGTGTTGGGGTCATAGTATTGGCCTTCAAATCAGTCCATAATTTTTTCTTGCAAGACAATGATGTATTCTTCCATTCATTTGCCTTGAAATTCTTTTAAACACATCAAATTCATATCAGAAAGTTGCTAACCAGACTAATTAGCTACAAATGACATGCTTGTTCTTGCTATATCTCATCGTATACGACTATCCATTAATAAGTCCTTCAATATTCTCATAAACGAACCCTTTTCTATTTCATGACAAGGGTTTACTAGGCTTGCCCAGTAGTCCCATCCCCAATCCAGTCTAAAGTGTTTCAAATAACTTATAATCAAAATCTTACTGAGTTTTTTTTTTTTAATAAATTTCCGAAATAATTATGCGAATCCAGGCATGCTATAAGTATGTTTTCCTATGTCGGGGCTTATGACTTATGGGATTTTTACTTAACACATTAGCAGATACAAAATTGAGACAACAAGGGAGTAGTGAACTCCCTTATCATTTGAGTTGACATCGGTTGGTAAATTAACTTAATAATATGCCTGTCTTCAAGGAGTGTAGCTCTTGCATCTTTAAGGAAATTTCTTTGGGTAAGCAATTTATTTGGGTTAAGACTAGGCATTTGGCTTCTACTTGGTGTAAAGCAAAGATTCATTTTGAAGGGGTCCCCAAAGATATGTGGAAGGATTGGATAGCTTTGCTACATTGATGTTTTCTTCTTTTTTGTATGTTTCTTCTTTTCATCTTTTAAGGATGATTTCTTATCCCCCTAATCCCTCGTAATTGTCTTGATGAAATTCTTCTTTTATAACAAAAAAAAAAAAAAAAAAAAAAAGCCAGCCTTAATTTGACAAGTACTCAATAATAATTCTTTTACTTCTTTTCTGTTGAAGAGAAGAACATACCAGATATGGCTGCTGTATGCTTCCAACCACAAGAAATCTGGCTAACAGAAGACTTCGAAAATGGCCCTTGAACCTTTTCAGGCAGACGAACAACATCTGAGGAACTAGGTAAAAATAACTTGATAAATCAAAACACCAGCATGCAGTACAAAAATTAATGGAAATGTAGAAAATGAAAATGTCCGAGCAACAAGTTTATAAGTATAAAAGTATACCCGATACCAAGGCAGCCATTTTCATTTGTACCCCAAGTATAAAGCTCACCAGAATCTATGGAAAAACACTAAATATAATGAAACGGTAAACAAAATATCACAAATCAACACATGGTTAAGTTCAGAAATTGATGAATTACTTGTCAGGACACAGATGTGATAGCCACCACAAGCAACTTCTTCTGAGTATGGAAGTTCACTAATCAAGGATGGTTTTGTTGCATTGCTCATCCCTTTCAAGAGCTGAATATTTTTATTGAAGAAAATATTAGTCATTACAAATTACAATTCGTAGACAATGGAGTTAAAAAAAAAAAAAAAAAAAAAAACTAATCGCTACCAATTGAACATACCAATTTGTCAATACCTCTTTCGCCAAAAATGAAAACAGAACCATTTTCTGCAACGTTTACAAAAGGAAGAGCAAAAACCAAGGGTTAATTCCCGAAGAAGAGTACAATCAAGGAATGGAAGTATGGAACGAGAAAGTCGAAAAAGATAAAAGAAAAAAATAAATTCTGGTACCATCAGTACAAGCTGAATTTAGCAACCCAGCAGCTACGTATTTAACCTTAACATAAAAACAACAGGGATGATAGTTAAACGTTTGAAGCCAATATATCTAAAATTAGAAACATGAAGGCATTAAATTCAGCTTCACACCTTGATTCCCTCAAGATCTTTTATCAGCCTTGGGGTATACTCACTGCATGATTTTTAAAGTACATCAATAGAGATAAACATATATTGAATATTATATTAAGTTGCATGGAATCCTAGGCAAAGCAGCTTATTTGGATACTGAGATTTTCTCTGGTATATTAAATATAGACAACATGCTTGCTTAGTTAATTTTTTCAAAAGGACATCTAATTTAGAAATTCTGTAGGCACGTTTAGAGCACAGAATGTATACCTAATAATATAACAATGTCATGTCTATGTACAGTATTCAAATTGGTTAAAAGCTACAAACATTTTTGTCCTCTTTTCAATCTTTCAGTTGAAAAGTTAAGCACAAGTAAATAACAAATTGGCTATGAAAGTAACGAGTACATTAAATATCAATGAAAAAAGACAATGACAACAAAGAATAAGCAAAACCCAAAAAAAATAAGTAGAAAGAGAGAGATATCAAACCTACCCAGACATAAATCATAACTAAGAATAAAAACAGGCCAAGATGCCCAAGAATAATACTTGAGTTGTGATACAACCCATTCCAAGCCCAATAAGGTGTACAAAAGAGACAAGCATAGAAGAATTTGGGCTGCTGACCCAAGCCCAAATAGCAAGGCTCCCACTGCTGACTCAACAAGTTTGTTACATCAGAATGTGAATGTGGGAACACAAGAGAACGTGGACGAAGGATGGATAAATAACGTGGAAGGGGAGAGGGAATGGACATCCAGAATTTAGAGAGTGGAATTGACACCTTGGGAGAGAGTGGAGCCTCTCCAACTGCTTCACAATTATCTTTCTTATTCTGTATTGTTGATTTCCATTGTTGCATTGTTATCTGTTTGTAAGAGGAGCTTAATTGGCATTGTTAGTCAATTTGCCTCGGTATTTATATTTGAAGTTGTCTTTGGCATTTATATTTACCCCTCTGTAATACAAACACTGATAGTATTTCCTTTATAAGATTGAATCTTGTTTCCTTCTTGAATTGAATCCTTGTTAATTACTGTTGGTCCGTATCAAACTGGTATCAGAGCTCCGATCTAGGAGCTCTGTGGGATGGTTGTCACAAGAAACATGGAAAATCGAATTGAAGCTATGGAGGAAAGGCTGCGTAGGAACGAAGCTCAAAATGATGAGATACTCAGGAGGATGGATGCCAGCGAAACAGGAGTAACTGAGATTATTCGAAGGCTAGACGAAATGGCAAGGTGAAGGAGGAGCAGCTCCAACGAGGAGAACGACGGTTCTAATAGAGAGAATACTGGAATGCATGGAAGGAGATTCAATCCAATTGCTTCCATGACCAGGCGGTTGGAGATTCCCCTATTCAACGGTGACGATGCATATGGGTGGATAAACAAGGTGGAAAGGTATTTCAACGTTAACGAGATGGAGGAAGAGGACAAGCTGGCAGTAGTGATGGTGACCTTAGAAGGAGAAGCGTTACAATGGTATCTGTGGTGGGAGATAAATAACCCAAACGCGATTTGGGAATTTTTCAGAAGGGAGTTGTTGAGTCGTTTTCAACAGGAAGCTCTGGACAATCCTTACAGAGCACTTTACACTCTTAAGCAAGTTGGGACGGTGGCTGAATTTAGGAGCGAATTTGAGAAGGTAATTGGAGCATTACGTTTTGAAGATGAAGAGTTGTTGAAAGGAGCATGGCTCAACGGCGTTCGTAGCAACATTCGTGAGGAACTGATTATGAGCCCTAATATCGGTTTGACAGAGATGATGAAATTCTCTCAGAAAATCGAGAAGCGGAATGATGCTTGGAAGGAGGAAGGGATGGTAGCAGGTGGAAGATTTGGGTCGGTTGGGCCGAGTAGAGGAAGCCTAGCCCAACGTAGCTGGACCAACTCAAACACTAACAGGAATGGGAGCTGGGGCGGTTCGGGTTCCTGGAACTCAGCCAATCCGGGTCGGGTCAATACTCAAACCGGCTCGTTTAATCAAAACGCGTCCGGATCGCAAGTGGCTAGGGCACAAATCGATGAGAATACGAGAAAGACTCCTAGCACCGTCAACCCAATCGGCGATGGGGGTCAAGCGGCGGAGAGCCGGGTGAGTAACAATCGCCGTCTCTCGCAGGCGGAGATGAGGGAGCGCCATTCGAAGGGCCTGTGCTTCAAGTGCAATGAGCGATGGAACCCAAATCATAGATGTCAGTTCAGGCCACTTCATGTCCTGATCGTTGACGACGAAGACGACGAAGAGAGAGAGGATCCGTTAACAGTAGCGGACGCACATGAAGAGGAGGAGCCACCAGAGAAAGACGAAGGCACATCTCTTCAACTTTCGATGCAAAGCCTGTTGAGGCTGACGTCTAGCCAAACGCTCAAGGTATGGGGGAAAGTTTTGGGGTCGAAGGTCATTGTGATGGTAGACTGCGGAGCTTCGAGTAATTCCATTCGGAGGGAAATGGCTGAGAATTTAGGGCTTCCTGTGACAGAGACCCAAACTTACAATGTTGAGGTAGGGGACGGTCACAAGGTCTCTTGCAAAGGGGTGTGTAAGGGGGTAAGTATTCTGCTTCAAGGGACAGTAGTGGTTCAAGATCTTTATATCTTCGACTTGGGAGGGGCTGACGTAGTTTTGGGCTTAGAATGGCTGACTCAACTAGGGGAAATCAAGGCTAACTTCAAGGATTTGACGTTGAAGTACATGCGGGAGGATCGCGAGGTTGTAATCAAAGGCGATCCGTCATTATTTCGCTCAGTGGCCTCACTGAAGTCCATTGTCAAAGCCCTTCAGGATCATGTCAGGGTTTTTACTTGAGGTCTGAAGAGGAATGCAATACAGGAGATGAAACTCAGTGGGTCGAGCTGGAAGAGTTGTTGGTTAAATTTGTTGTCCTGTTCCAGGAACCAACAGGACTACCACCGAGGAGAGATCAAGAGCATGCCATCAATCTGAAACCAGGAAGTGGAGTACCAAACATATGACCATATAGGTACCCACACTATCAGAAATCTTAAATAGAGAATTTGGTGGCTGAGTTGCACAATGATGGTCTAATCAGGCATAGCACGAGCCCTTATTCCAGCCCCATGATCTTAGTAAAGAAAAAGGATGGGAGTTGGAGGGTCTGTGTTGACTACAGGGCTTTGAATAAGCTGATTATCCCTGACAAATTCCACATTCCCATCGTGGATGAGCTGCTGGACGAGCTTGGGGGCTCAACCATTTTTTCTAAACTTGACCTGAAGTCAGGTTTCCATCAGATTAGGATGCGTGACGAAGACATACCTAAGACAGCGTTTCGAACGCATCAAGGGCATTACGAATACTTAGTAATGCCCTTTGGTTAAACAAAGGCACCATCCTCATTTCAGGCCCTCATGAATGAAGTTTTACGGCCTTTTCTGCGAAAGTTCGCACTGGTATTTTTTAATGATATTATGATATACAGCAAGAACCGAACAGAACACCTGGAGCACCTGCGTTAAATGTTCCATGCACTGAGGTCTAATTCCCTGGTTTGCAATAAAAAAAAGTGCAGCTTTGGTAAAGGTTATATGGAGTACTTGGGGCACATCATATCAGCTGAAGGAGTTAGTGCTGATCCGGGCAAGGTCCCAGCTATGAAAGGGTGGCCAGTGCCCAAGGATATTAAAGGCCTGAGGGGGTTTTTGAGGTTGACTAGGTATTATAGAAGGTTTGTGCAAGACTACGGTAAGGTTGCAAAGCCTTTAACAGATTTGCTTAAGAAGGATGCATTCAAATGGAATGCAGAGGCAGAACGCAGCTTTGAATTGTTAAAGGATAGGATGTGCACCGTACCTGTGTTGGCATTACCAGACTTTTCTAAGCCTTTCACAGTTGTTACGGATGCCTCTGGCAAGGGAATTGGTGTTGTCCTAATGCAACACAACAGGCCTATTGCGTTTTTGAGACAAGGTTTCTCCCCTAGAGCACAAAGCAAGTCAATCTACGAAAAGGAGCTTATGGCCATTGTTTTTGCAGTACAAAAATGGAAAAACTACTTGATGGGGAGGCATTTTATCATCAAGTCAGATCAGAAGAGTTTGAAGTTTCTCACAGACCAAAAGGTATTGAGTGAAGAGCAGCAAAAGTGGGCGGTGAAGCTGTTGGGATTTGATTTTGAAATCCAATACTACCCAGGCAAGGAGAACGTCGTTGTTGATGCTCTCTCTAGGCAGATGCAGCTGTATAGTATCACCAGATTGCAGCTACCAGCATTGGAAGAACTAGAATTGGAGTTACATGAGGATAGCAGGATGAGACAAATCATACAGGACCTGTTGGTGGGTAATGAGGTCCACCAAGGTTTCAAACTCAGGGAGGGCAGATTATATTATAATGACAGGTTAGTCTTATCTAAAATTCTAAGTTTATCTCAGTTTTACTTTATGAGTTCCATGATTCCAGTTTTGGGGGGCACTCTGGGTACTTTAGAACTTATAAAAGGCTGGCGGGGTTGGTCTAATGGGAAGGACTGAAAAGAAATGTCAGAGAGTATGTAGCTGCCTGCATAATATGTCAGCAAAACAAGGCCCAAAATTTAACTCCAGCAGGACTAATACAGCCCCTGCCTATCCCAGAAAAGGTATGGGCTGATATCTCCATGGATTTTATAGGAGGCTTGCCCAAGGTTATGGGGTTTGATACCATCCTGGTTGTTGATCGCCTCACTAAATATGCGCATTTTTTGCCCATCAAGCACCCATATACAGCAAGGGACGTGGCAGAGCTGTTTATCAAAGAAATAGTAAGGCTTCATGGGTTCCCCTCAACGATTGTTTCAGATAGGGACAGAATCTTTATGAGCTCTTTTTGTACTGAATTGTTCAAAAGCGCAGGCACTAAGCTACACTATAGCACGACTTACCACCCACAAACCAATGGTCAAACCGAAGTAGTAAACCGGTGCCTTGAAGTCTACCTGCGTTGTTTTTGCAGCCCAAGGCCAAGGCAGTGGCCCAAATGGGTGCCTTGGGCCGAGTTTTGGTACAATACTACCTATAAGGATGCTACCAGGATGACTCCCTTTAGGGCCCTTTATGGCCGCGACCCTCCCCATCTGCTCAAAGGGAATGATTTTACTTCTGCAGTGGATGCCCTCTCTCACTCACTAGCTTCCAGAGACCAAATTTTGTTAGATTTGAAGAATAATCTGGTCCAATCCCAAAGTCGTATGACAATCCATGCTAACCAACATAGGAGGGATGTTCAGTTTGTCCCTGGAGACTTGGTTTACTTAAGGTTGCAACCTTATAGACTTAAGACCATAGCACGACGTGTTAATGAGAAGTTGAGTCCTCGGTATTATGGTCCTTTTTCTGTTTTGGAGAAGTTGCATACAAGCTTCAACTACCTAGCTCCGGCCAAGTCCACCCGGTTTTCCACGTCTCTTTACTTAAAAAGGCTATTACCCCAATAGCAAATGCCCAACCTTTGCCCCCAATGCTGTCAGAAAGTTGAGAACTAGTGGTGGAACCGGAAAAATTGGTCCAATGGCGAATTAATAACAGGGGTGACCTCCAGGTTCTTCTCAAGTGGCACCAATTGCCTGAATTCGAAAATACTTGGGAATCCTTTGATGTCATCAACAAGCAATTCCCTCACTTCCACCTTGAGGACAAGGTGCTTAAATTAGGGGGGAGTATTGATACAACCCATTCCAAGCCCAATAAGGTGTACAAAAGAGACAAGCATAGAAGAATTTAGGCTGCTGACCCAAGCCCAAATAGCAAGGCTCCCACTGCTGACTCAGCAAGTTTGTTACAACAGAATGTGAATGTGGGAACACAAGAGAACGTGGATGAAGGATGGATAAATAACGTGGAAGGGGAGAGGGAATGGACATCCAGAATTTAGAGAGTGGAATTGACACCTTGGGAGAGAGTGGAGCCTCTCCACCTGCTTCACAATTATCTTTCTTATTCTGTATTGTTGATTTCCATTGTTGCATTGTTATCTGTTTGTAAGAGGAGCTTAATTGGCATTGTTAGTCAATTTGCCTCAGTAGTTATATTTGAAGTTGTCTTTGACATTTATATTTACCCCTCTGTAATACAAACACTGATAGTATTTCCTTTATAAGATTGAATCTCGTTTCCTTCTTGAATTGAATCCTTGTTAATTACTGTTGGTCCGTATCAAGTTGCAAAGAAATATAAAGAAAATTTCAAATCAGGAAGTTTTATGTCCCTTTGCCAAGAAATTGCCCAATATCTTTAAAGAACAATAGACTCTAGTCACAATTTAACTGCAGAAACTATCACCATCTTCATAGATAATCAATATCATCATCCAAATCTTTCATATTCTGATAATACATGTGAAGGACCAACTCTCCCAAAAGCGTAAGCTATTAGGCGAAGACTCATAAATGGTTTCATATCCAATACACTTTGTTATGACTTTGGAAGGGTACAAATAGGGATAAAGGTGTTTGGAAATAAGGAAAATGAGAGAAAATAATGATATGATTGATGAAATAATAGTGAAAAGAGGAAACCCTCTTCACAAGGGAATTCTCCTTTCTCACACAGAAACCCTCAGTCTCAACTAATTCTCTGAAATAGAGTCTAAACAATAGAGAGGCCCTGCCTTATATAATTGCAACACTTCCCATCTATAGGATTAACTAACTATCTCATCCAGTAGTTGCTAACTGCTAAAGCTTTCTAATCAATGCTCATAACTAGCCCAACACCTATCTGGTATTTTCCTTCAGGAATATCCTTCCCAAACAGTGGATTGTCCTCTCCTCTTAATGCTAGTCGTATCACACTCCTTTATGCAAAGGTACTTTGGGCTTGAAGCCAAGACAAAACACAAGCCCAAGTTACCTTGTCATAAAACTCAACTTTTATTTAGAAGAAAAGAGAGCAGAATGGATCAAGCTCCTAACCACTTGGTCATAGAAGCTTTAATACCATATTAAGGACCAACTCTCCAAAAGCTTTAGCTATTAAGGGAAGACTCATTACTAGTTTTATATCTAAAAATACATAACCAACACGTGGTATTTTTCAACCATTTTTAACGGAAGAAACATATAAAACTAAAAAAACCTATCACCTCACCAAGTCCGTTTCTTAATTCACCTCACTGTCACTCTCAGGCCAGCAAAGTGAGCAGCCACCATAGCAAAAGTGCTACTCCTACCAGCTGCCCAAGCAGCACAAGCACAAATATAATTTATTTTATTTCATTGTTCAGAAATGTAGGAACAAAATATACAAACGCATTTATTTCAGACATTGGTCTCATTGCTCTACCAGGGTCTCCATTATAAAAAGATAGACGCACTTACAATCTAAGCTTGTGATTATGTACGGATAGGGGAAACAAATAGGTTTTTTCGCTATAAAACTTTGTATAAATTTAACTTGATTTGAGTTCTAAATAAGCTTAGTTATTTGTTAGAAACTTAGAATTTCTCATAATCTATTTTGTAAATTAATGGGTCTGTAGTAAAGTTACAGTAAGTTATTACACCTTTACGGTGTCTCTCTCGTTTCTTATTCTTTACAGTAAACCAGTCTATGCCTATAAGGTTGCCCCTATACGTACACAGATCTTCACATGATGTTCCAAATGGCAATCTGTTAGGACTCATTTGTAAGGTATGGGACTTGGAGTCCCACATTGGTTGTATGGGCAACTAATGTGGGGTTTAAAAGTCTTTGCGCACTCCCATCCTTTGAGCTAGCTTTTGGGGTGGTGCATCCCAAGATTCTTATCAAATGGTATCAGAGCCTTCCACTATGTCTCCCGGTTGCGATCGAGCGGCGCGGGTGGTGATGCCGGCATTGCAGTGTTCGCCCGGGGCTAGTAAAAGACTAGCGCAAAGCCAACCCGCATGAGCGCCAGGGCTGCGGAGCGTGTTGGAATGTTAGGACCCATTTGCAAGGTATGGGATTTGGAGTCCCACATTGGTTGTATGGTCAACTAATGTGGGGTTTATAAGTTCTTGAACACTTTCACCCTTTGAGCTAGCTTTTGGGGTGGTGCATCCTAAGGTACTTATCACAATCACTATAAACTTCTCTGCAACCAATATTCTCAACAACAATTTTTCCAAAATGAAGAATGGTGAAGGCAGGTGCTTTAGTTTAGGTTTTGCTTCACTGCAATAGTGATAAACTTTAGGTGTAGTTTTCTTCCTAACTCTCCAAGCTTCTTGATTGACTGCAGGCTAGCTGAAAGGGTGGGAAAATGGTTGCTCACTTGATCTAGGAGAGTGAAAGAGAAAAAGAATAATGAATATATATATTTTTTAAACAAGTTTCTAAATATACCTTCCAAAGGATGGAAAATACTAAATGGTTGTTATGAGTTAACATGGCAAAGCACCAAAGAGAATTAAGTTTTAAATTTTATACCACAAGATGCCAGTTTTTTTGATCCAAATCACATGGCCATGGGGGTAAAGTGTGATTTACCCAATTATAAGATAAAAAGGATATGGGACAGAACCTGTGACTTTTGAAGAATCCTAGGATGCTTGACTCATGGCCATGACCAAGTCTTCCAGACATTCCCATTCCCCAGCTAAAGGCCTCTCCTCCATCTGGCGAAGACAGAAACAACAACTGAGAAGATATTAAGAATATTTATGGCACAATACAATCATGCTTGCTCAGAGGAACTCAATAAAAACAGTAGGAACAAACTCAAAAGATGTATTATACTATGTCTTTGGTTGACCTAAGAATGTAATATCATGAAGAGAATACAAATAGTTACGTACCCTGTCATCCTAAGAGTTCAACTCATTAGGTCCAATCCTGGTAATTGTTTATAATTTATGTCTCTAACAAGACCCCTCAAGCAAAAGACCTCTAAGAAGAATGTTAAATAATAACATAAATCATTAAAAAGGCCTTCACCCAATAGCTTAAGCTTTTGGGTTGAATTGGTTTTTTACATAGTATCAGAGCCACGTGTCCCGACTACGATCATCACCGTCCCCCACTTTCTCTTGTGGAATTTCTTAGCACAGGTAGAATGGGCCTGATGCATCATCCACTCTTCAAGCCCAATGGGCTCTCATGTGAGGGGGCGTGTTAAATAATAATATAAACCATTAAAAAGGCCTTCACCGAATAGCTTAAACTTTTGGGTTGAATTGGTTCTTTACAAAGAAGAAGAAATATTTTGTTTGGTTTGGATTATTCTACCTCTCTGACTTGCTCCATCAAACTACATTTTTTCTATCTTGACGAGGGTAGGGTAGAACAAATACTATTTGTAGTCTACCTTGAGAAGCCCAAGTAGAAGAATATTGCTAATTTGATAGACATCAAGATTTAACCTGAGACTAGACATAGGCTCAAACAAAATTTTAAGTTGAAGTCAGATGATTACTGGACTCTATCTTACGAAACTAAGTCATGTGATGTAGGAAGCCAAAGCATCAATAAAAGCTAAATATAAGAATAAAATCAACTTAATATTCTGGTTTTCTTATACTTATGAAGCTGATTCTAATATTTTATAGATCTTAATATGCTGTTACGATAATTAATTTTATATCTTTCATACTAGGGCAATTTTAGTAATTTTCACATTTTTAACCTTTAGCCATGTTTAGGATTCAATTGAAGTTATTTAGGCATTATTGGTTTTTATGACTGGATTTCCCTCATGGATCTAACAATAGAATATTCTCAGTCTATATAGAAGTAGAACTAGCACATATTCCTAATTCTTGAAGCGGAAGTTATAAGAGGGCCATCTAGACCTTTTCTAATGATTCTTTTTTTAGTGTTACTATATCTGCATGTAACTTAAAGGGAGAGAATAATACACATGATAGATTTGGACAATTTATGTTATATAGGAAAAATTGTGCTGCCTTATTTTTAGGGATCTTATCTTATTAGGAACCTTATCTTCTTCGGTTTGCTATCTTATCTAAAGTAAGTTATCTGTTCCCTTAATTGATTATGATTTAGAAATCTAGCACTTAACCTAATTCCTAGTATAAATAAGGATTAATGCTTTTTCTTTTGTATCACATCATAATATGTTGTGCCAATTTAATATCCGATTATTTAGAACATGTCTCTCTTTTCCTCTTTCTCTACGTATGCTATCAGAGCGGTACCATTATTCCATCACTATTCTGATACTGAGTTCCCAAAAATCTAGAACTCTATTGTCACAATGTCATTATCTCTATATGATTCTTTGCTTCCTGTAGACTGATTAGATCGAAAACAGAACACCACTCTAATTTATTGGCAAACTTTAAAGACAAAAACTAGGTAAATTATAGTCACTGGACTGCAATCTCATTTAACCCTCCAACCATATGTAACAACAAATCTTAATAAGTAAAACAGAAAAATTAACATCTGCGATCAATACAATATAAATTTATGATTGTGTGTCCATTGCATACCACTAATAGCCACTGAGTGCTCTGAACCCAAAGCTGCCATTTTAATGGTGATTCCATCCAAGTATTCCACTTTAGTCGGCAAAGGAACCATGTTTGGAGCCCCTACATTTCAGCAAAAGGCATTATATTCTACATAGCTGTTACCTGCCAACCTTTTCCTTTGAGCAGCTCTAACAGCTCCCACTACTAAGAGCATCTAATTTAAAAAATATATATATAGTATGACCAGCTTCAGGGGGAAGGTCTACTGAATTTTAATACAAGGTCTAGCTCTTACTTTTTCCAAGTCCTAGCTGCCCACTTGAATTCTTTCCCCACATATATAGTTCTCCATCCACTACAAAAGAAAGGAAAGGGGAAAAATAAAAATAAAAACACTGTTTAATAATAGGAAAGGTAAAGAATGTGCAAAAATTCACAAGGTTTAGTGTAATAATAAATAATATTTTAACGCAGAATAAACAAAAATAATGCAAGCACTAAGCAGCCTAACATATTAATCAGTACAAGCAGAACAGTAAGAATCAAAAGCCACATCCTGTATTTGCTTAATAGATAATGAACTCAATCTTCCAAATGAAATTCTTTTCGGGAATCTCCTTGCATAGAAAATTTTGAAGAGAATCTACTATAAATTAAAAAAACCCACTTTAAAAATTGTTTATCAAAGATCCAAACTACTAGATACAAAATACAAAACTGCAAACCGTAGGCATTGATATTTTTTTATATAAAGTATTAAAAATAACATATGGTTTTGAATAAAAGTTTCTTAGTTGCCCAACTATTAGAAACTAAGTTGAATCAATTGTAGTGGGTTGAACAACTGATTTCTTAAGCTATTGCAATTTTCTTTCTTTTCCTTTTTCCTAAAAAAACTTAGGGTATTAAATATTCATTTTGAAGGAAAAAAAGGTCTGCCAACTTCAAATACAAGTTATTGAAGGTCGAGGCTTGTTATTATTGGTTCAATTTGGTTTGGTTGACAATAGCATGCAAAAGAACAGACCTGTTATCGCACAAGAATGATTATAACCAGCAGAGATCTGCACAATTTTCTTCTCATGTCCAAAAACCCGGAGTGGCTCCTGGAACAACATGGAAAATTAAAGGAAATATCTCAAGCAAGGAAAAATTGGATAAATAAATTTTTCTAGCTCCTTCTTATGTCCAAAGGGAATGCACTCATCAACAAGATTTTTTTTTTTATTTTGTAATAATTTCACTTAACAAAACTACAAGTTGTGATAAGTTCAATTAAAAAAAGAAAGGTAAAAGGGTGAAGAAATCATACCACTGACACTGAGTAGTTTTTACTCTCTGATATACCAAGCTGTCCGAAATCATTAAGACCAGCAGCATAAACGCATCCATTGTCTGTGAAAGGAGGACAATTTGTGAGCCCCGGAGAGTCTTCAATATTCATCAGAGTCATCACCAATTTTAAAGACTGTGACATTGTAGCCATACAATGATTACTAGCATAAACCAGCAACTTGGAACTTAATAGACATTCTAAATTTTTTTCCACAAAATTGACTCTCCAACAATAATTGCATAAAATCGACGAACAAGTTTTTTTATTTTTTATATTTTTTTTCCCTTCAAGTATTTCACAAAATTCAGCTTTCTGAATCCATCAAATAACGTCAGAGATCAACCAGTGAAGGATTCAATTTTGCGCTGTTTCCCCCCCCCCCCCCCTCAATTTAATAAAAAGGAAACCGAAGAATAATAAATTTGATAATAAAAGTAAAAGGAAAAAAGGAAGATGAAGATTAACCTGTTAAGAAGAGGGTGTGAGCACCGCCACAAGCAATGGCTTTAAGGGTTTGGTTATGGAACGCGGGACAAACGGCAGGCTCCCATTGAGAATCCAAGTTGCCAAGACCCAATCTTCCGTAATCGCCGTTGCCCCATAACGCAGCGAACCTCTTCCCCGGCTCGGACGAGAACGATCTTCTCGAAAACCCTAAACGTGAAATTCCGAGCTTGAGTTTCGACAAGTGGAGGAGGAGGCAGCAGCTTCGACGCCACATTTCTCCTTTCGATTGAGAAGAAATGGAGCTTGGTGATGGTGGGGGAGAACGATGAGATGACGAAGGTAATTGTTAGTTTGAAGAAGAATCATGAAGCGAATCGTAACGAGAAATGATGGAAGTCAAATTTATTGAAGAAGAGAGGGAGAGAGAGAGAGAGAGAGAGAGAGCAAAGGGAAACTTGTCATGGCTCACGCTACTGCAACGTCTGTGCTCAGAATGGCGGTTAATTATGTGGAGACGATTCTGCTGCCAATTTTACCCCTTTTAACCCTCCTGTCCCCTCCGAAAATCAATTCCACTTGTAACATCATAACCGAAATTAAAATAAGGAAATATAACTCTCTTTTTTATATTCTCTCGTTTCAATTTTTATTTTTTATTTTTTTTCTTGTAACGGTAGAATTTATTTGTTTTTTTTTCTACAATATAAAATAGGTATATTATGTTAAATGAGACTAATAAAACTCATTAAAATAAGGGATTAATTTTTTTTATTAGATAATAATAAAATTTTATTTTATACGTGTAAGAGATAAAATATTAAATCATTATAAACTTTGTAATATCATTAATATCATTTTTAACATCCAAAATCATTCTTAACAACATTGGAAATTTAAGTAATTTACTTATTTTACTCTACTTAAAAAAATAGAATGATAACAAAAAAGAAGAAGAAAAAACTAAATAAGTTTGAAACTTAAAATACTTATAAAAAAATTAAAAATTAAAAATTAAAAGTTAAAAATAGAATAAAAATATTTAAATATGTTTAAATATAAAATAAAAAAAATGACTTAAGATAAAAAAAATTTAAATATATTAAAAACTTATAACAATGCTAGAAAAGACTAAAAAAAAAGAGAAAAGACAAGAAAAAATATAGAAGAAAAAGAAATTAGTGTTGTACGTTTCCAATTATTTTTCTTTTTCTTTTCTTTTTTGTCCTCAATCTACTTTTTTTTGCTTAAAAATTATTTGGTCTTTTCTTCTATTTTTATTTTTTTCACTTTTAGTCTCTTCTATCACTGTTAAAAGAAAATATAAGAAAAAAAGAAAAAAGAAATAAATGTTATAAGTTGTCAATGTATTTTCTTTTCTTTTTTTTATTTTTCCCCTTGGTGTATTTTTTTTTTTTCAATTTAGACTATCTTTATTATTTTTACTTTTATTCTTTTATGTTTTGTAAGTTTTCAACATGTTTGATATTAGTATTATTATTATTAATTTTATTGTCCTCAATTTATTTTCTTCTTTTCGATTTAGACATATTTAGATTTTTTCTTCTATTTTTATTTTTTGTTTTAATTTTGTCTATAAGTGTCGTAAGTTTTTAACATATTTGATTTAATTTTTTCCTTTATTTTTTCATTTTTTATTATCAATCTATTTTTTCTTCTAAGAAAGGTGAAATAGGCAGATTAATTAAGTTTTTAACGATGTTAAGAATGAGTTTGAATGGAAAAAATTATAAAGAGTTAAGTGATTAAAACAAATATAAAGAAATAAGTGTTTCAAAACAAAATATTAAAGAATTTTTGAACTTTTCCCTAAATTATATAATCTCTTATAGGCTTTTTGACCCTTTTGCCCCTCATTAATTAATTAATAACCAATTTGCCCCTGATCAAGAACTATCCACCAACCTGCCCTCTTTTAGTCGACTACCTTGCTGTTTTAGTCGAGCAAATGGTCAATCTTCAGAAAGTGGACTACCGCAAATTTAGTCGACTAAAAAATCATCTTAATCGACTACATTTTTGGGATATTTAGTCGACTAAGTATCGATATTTAGTCGACTAAATATCGACGGATTTGTTTTTTAAAAACCCCTCATTCGGCAGAGGGGGAGTAGGATGACCTAATCGACTAAGGAGGCGGCCCAAACCCCAAATCCGCAGGAGCAGCTGAAGAACGCCCCAAACCCTTCCCTTAGGCGTGTGGATTGCCCCCAAATTTGGTCCAAATCGTGAAATCTGAAGGATAGGTAAGGTTTCTTAACTTGCATTGTGTTTTAGGTTTAGGAATTTTTTGTATTTGTTTGTTGTCCGAATTTGTGAACTCTAATCAAAGCGTTTGTTGTAGGTTTTGTAACCCTAATCTACTAAGGTTTATTTTTTTGCATTGTGTGAATTTTTTTGTTTGAAAAGTTTGTATGTGGCAAAAGTTTGCTTTTGGTTTACAGCGCTTATGTTGCAAGTTTTCATTACCATCATGACATGTTTCATATAGTTAAATGCTGACATGTTTCATTGTAGGTACCCTAAACAAATGACGAGCCGCAGAAGACCAAGCGATGAGGGCAATGAGTCACTTGAGAGACGCACCAAGCATAGGCAAGAGCGGCCTTCTTCGTCAAGGCGACAAGACGAAGAGCCTGATACTGTTGACCTCCCGTATGGGTATCTGTTTGAGGACGACCCTGCCGTCCACGCTTCATTCGTACGTGACCATTTGAACCGGCCGTTATGTGCTCCAAAATCTTTGGATACAACCTTTTTTGATAAGGAGGGATTTGAAATTGTAGGGGTGTTGGAGGCGGCACATCTGAGGGTGTTGGCCGAGACCCTATGTCCGTATTCAGAGCTTATGGTGCGGGCCTTCTACCATAACCTCAGCTACGTACAGGGCGAGCTGAGGTCGAGGGTCTGTGGAATAGAGATCATCATGACGGCACCTGCATGGTTGGAGATACTCGGCTTTCCATCATAGTAGATCATTGTCACATACATGTTTGGACTTGTGCTCATCTTCCTCACGAAATTGGGACTTGGGTTCTGAAATTGGGGGTTTGGGTTCGGATTTTGGGGTTTGGAATTGGGCAATGACAATGATTTCACAATATTAGGTCTGTAGAGATGGTGGGATGAAATACAATCGGATTGAGAGGATTACACATGAACAAAGGGAGCTATTTAGGTTTACACAACAACAACAATCGAAATGAGACCGAAAACATGGAAAATATAGGGTTTCAGTCGACATTTAGTCGACTAAATATCGATACTTAGTCGACTAAATATCCCAAAAATGTAGTCGATTAAGATTATATTTTAGTCGACTAAATTTGCGGTAGTCCACTTTCTGAAGATTGACCATTTGCTCGACTAAAACAGCAAGGTAGTCGACTAAAATGGGGCAGGTTGGTGGATAGTTCTTGATCAGGGGAAAATTGGTTATTAATTAATTAATGAGGGGCAAAAGGGTCAAAAAGCCTCTCTTATACTTTGTAACATCATACCCCCAAAATGCTTAACAAACACAAGTAGTGTTAAGTTCAGAAGTTTAAAAATTTATGCGGTTATTATTTTTATTTCAATATTTATACTATTTGAACAATCAAATAATGTGAAAACACCCTTCTTTTGAGCTGTTTCTTGCTTCGTTTTTTGGTTTCCTTTTGAGCTGATTTTTTTTAACAGTACTAATAATATTTTAAAAATTCAATAAAGTATAATTTTTATATACTATATTGTTCCCTTTTTTATTATCAAATTAAACAAATAATGTATAATAAAATTATGGACAAATTTGGATACGTCCTTGGAAATAATTTATGTCCCCTAGCTTATCATCCCTTTTCATCCACTTAACATTCTCCGTTTGTCTCAAGGAGGAAAACCCATTTTCTCCCTACTCTTTCTTTTCCAAGTGCGATAATCTGGTTCCTCTGTGTGCTTAAATGGAAGAGCTTCAAGTGTGTATGAATGCCTTAGTATATCTCTAACAGGAACAAGTGAAGTTACTAGAGGTGGGTCCCACTGGAAATTCCAAAGTGATATTGTAATATTTTCCTTTCTTTTTTTATGCTTCAGTGTTTGGTAGAAGATTTATTTTGGGATTGATGGGAAAGTGTAAATAGATATTGGAAAATATCACGTTTGGTTCAGGTTTTTGAAAAAAATATTAGGCAAATAAGATAGATGGGGAAATGACTTTTGTGTTGATTTTTGGATGAAATTTACTGTTACAGAATACCACTTGAGATGTGGTATTTTGAGATAACTAGGAAAGTGAAAAAACAGGTGCGAAGTTTCTCCCGAACATAGATTTTGCAAATTTAAATAAATTTCCCAGGTAATATTTCGGTCAACCAAACAACTTTTTTTACATTTTCCTACCAAACTCACTTTCCAACCATTTTCCTAGTAATTACATTTCCTCAGTATTCAAAAAATTTCTCCCCAACAAAAAATTTCCATGCTTAATAGAATTCGGTAGGTCTCTATTTTGGTAAGTATTATATTTTAAGTGGGCGACCGTAGGGAACAGATATGTTGAGCCAGCTTACTCAAATTTGAAGCGAAGAGTTTTAAGTGTTACGAACACCATAAGTAAAAATAGAAATTTGACTTTTTTAGAAAGTCTGATCTCAAATGACTTTACTGAAAAAGTCTGACCTCTGACCTCTTGCACAGAGTGCCTTTTGGGATAACTTTTCTAACCTGATATGATACTTTTATTCAAATACTTAAAGGTTTAAATAGATAATACAAGACAACTTTAAAGATAACTACCCATTATGCTCCACTAATAGCTATGACCTATTCTTTAGTAAATTTAAAATTCAAATAACTACTCACTACTTAAACAACCCAACAATTCAGAAAATAATAAAATAATAAAATAAAGAGTAAACATCCTTTTTAGTCCCTGGCAATAAAAAATGACCAAATTGGTCCTTGAAAGTACAAGAAAAGGGCCACTCTACATATTTGGGAGTTGACATAAGGACTAACATGGCCCTATTGTTGTAATTTCAGGGACCAATTTGGTCTTTTTTTATTGCCAGGGACTAAAAAGGACTTCGTAAATATTGACAGGGATTAAAAAGAGTGTTTACTCTAAAATAAAAAGATCATAACTTTCCCTTCCCCTAAAATTAACTCTTGTCCTCAAGAGTAAATTTGACATCAAGTAATTGAATCATCTTCAATATTCGCCTCTCCATCACTTTCGTCCATCACCGCTTTGATCGAAAATAACTTCTTGCAACGATGACCAGGAGTAAAAACCTTGTTGCAGTGAAAACAAAGCCCATTTCGTCATCTATCAGAGATTTCTTCGAAAATCAATCGTTGAACTTGATTAGTGTCAATTATGTTCTTGCCATGATTGGTTAGGACTATGGAACCTGTTGGTTTAGCATTAAAATTGTTTGCTAAATGATCTCCTCTTTGTCGTGTTAGCGTAGCCACCAAGAT